GGAGATGGAGGCAGGCTCCTTAAAGGTTTCACAACTTTCACGTTTCCCCACCAACCATCACAACCTTCACTGCCGCCTTCAAGGCTTGGGAGGATGGCGGGCTAGGGCCCAAGCTTTATTCCCAAGTTAATGATGGTGGTGGAGGGGAGGCGACCCCTGCCCCAGCTGGGACCTGCGGAGAGGGGCCCAGGAGGGGAGGGAGGGAGGGGGGCGGAGGGCAGCCAGGCTGCTGGGAACCCATCTTGCTCAACAGCAGCTTCCAGTAACTCTGTCTTCCAGGAACCCTGGTGGGGCGGGCTGAGTGGGCCCTGGGGCACCGATGCTTTCAGACTGGCTCTCGTCCTGGGAAAGCTTTCTCCTTGCACGCAGGCGTGTGCACACCCTCACCCGGTGTCTACAGATGCACGTGCCCACATCCCTCACCCGCACACACTCCCTTACGTGCACCCACATGGCACATACACACACGCAGGCAGGGTTCCCTGTCCTGGCAACGCTGCTCCCCAAGCACAGGTGAGGGGCGAGGGGTGTGGGTGTGAGGGGAGCCCTCTGCCTTTCCCTGCAGCAGGTGCAGCCCCGGGCAGGGGGCAGGGCCGCGAGGAGGTGGAGCTCAGGCACCTTCCTGGGAGGGTGGGAACCAGCCACAGGAGGTTCCACTGCAGTCTCTGGAGCTCTGCCACGTGGCAGACCGGGTCCCCTCTCCGTGGCCTTCCCTGAATCTCTGGGTCTAAGGATCCCAGAGGCTGCCCACACTCCTGCCTCCAATGAGGGGGTCCCAGCACTGAGCTATCCCTGAGGCCCCAGGCCCTCTCTGCTCTCTGCAGGGTGGGTGTCTCCTGCTCCCTCAGCCAGGGCTCCCCAAACCAGCAGCTCCCGGGGACCGGGAGGGCCCTCCCAGGCAGCTAGGCCTGGGGCGGGGGCTGGGAGACGCCTCCCACCTTTGGGTCATTCCTGTTTCCCAGCCACCTCCCTGGCTCGGGTGCAGGACTGAGGGGCGTTGGGACACACGGAGACGGTGGGAAGCATGCCAGCCGAGTCCTTCCCTGGTGCCACAAGAACCTAGAATGTGTGGCTACAGCCTTGAGGGAGGGGTGGGTGCAGCCTGAGCTGGCGGGGACTCCAGGAGGACAGAGGAGGATGGGGAGCACGGGCACTCTTTCTCCCACGGAGAGCTTAAGGAGAAAAGAACCGTCTATTGACCCGGGCTGGGGGTCAGGGCAGAGAGGCCAGCGGTGGGGCTAGCGAACCCCAGGAGGCCCGAGCACCCTCCTGCTATCAGACGGGCTGGGTCTCCGGCACCCTCTCCAGAGTCCAGCTACCCTGGCCTCTCAGCCTACACTGCCCTCCTCTCCATGCCCCCCTCCTCCTCCCATCAGTCCGTCCTCCCCTCTCCCCCCTTCGCAGCACCCCTGGCATGAGAGCCTCTGCTTGGGTCCCTCTTGCCTTTTGCCTGGGCCCCCGGCGCTCTGCCTCCCCCCTCCCCACAGCCTGCTCCACGCGGTCTGCCAGGCGCAGGTGCCCAGGACCCTCCCAGCCTCGTGGTGTGACCCCTGCCTGCTCGTGGCAGGGACCCCAGAGCAGCACACCCAGTAGGACTTCCTCCGGCCACCGGAATGTTCTGTAATCTGTGCTGCGGTCCAGTGTGGCAATCAGCCCTTGAAATGTGGCTAGTACCACTGAGGAGCTAATTTTAAAACGGAATTTCTCTTCATTTTGATCGTCCCCTGGCTATTGGCTACTCTACTGAGCAGTGCAGCCTTCGAGGCCTCAACTGCGGGCTGATGCTGTGGGGTCTGGTTGTGCCTTAATCCTGCTGGGTGACCCTGGGCAAGCCTTTCACCCTCTCTGATCATGCTTCTTTCACCTACACAGGGCAAAGACTCAGTCCCTCTCCTAACCTCAAGGGAGGGAAGATCCATAAATGGGGAAATTCTAGCCGGGAAATGCCTCAGAAACGTTAAGTGCTACAGCCCCGCAGAGCCAGTGACTTCTGTAGTCATCACTCCAATAATAGCAATGACATAGCCCTAGAACCACCCCGCTGGGCTTCAGGGACCACACAGCCCTCTTACCTGGAGAGGCGACGAGGGCCACAGCCAGCAGCAGCAGCAGCAGCAGCTGCGACTTCCTCCCGGAGCGAGTCCCCATGGCGCTGTCCAGGCCGAGGTGGAGGAGAGGAAAGGAAAGTGCGGCAGGAGGCTGAGCAGGACCTAGGGAGGCAGGAGGGCGGGGGGCGGGGGCCCTGAGCTGAGCGCCCCTCCCAGCTCCAGGCTGTCTGGGTCTTGCCTGGGAGAGGCCGGAACTGCTCAAGCGCTCGCTCATCTCCCCAGGGCCCAGGGGAAGGGGCTTGGCCATTACCAAGGAGCTCTTTCACTGCTGAGTGCCTCCGACGGCCCCCTGGGAGTCTGGCTCAGTCACTACCCCTGCCTCCTCCACCCCCTCGGCCAGCAGGGACCTCAGGAGGGGAAACAGTGACCAGCTGGGGTCAGGAGGCCAGGGCCAGCTGCTGGCTCACCTGTAATAGCTCTTGGGGTGGGTCCTGAGGAGAACAGGGCCCGGGCCCGGACTTGGGGAACTAGTAACATCTTTCTCTAGTAATGGGGGCCCACTGCCCCTGTCCCCCACGGTGCCTGGGCGGGGGCAATGAGCCGCCCTGGGAGCTGTGCTGTCTCTCAGGCCCAGCCTTGCTTCTAGTGGAGGGGTCTCACTATGCACCCCCTCTCCCCGGGTCCCCAGGTAAGGCCTCACGTCTTGTGCAGTGGAGCCATATGGCCCTGTAAGCGGTGCCCTGGCCACATGGGCGAATGGGCCAGGGAAGCCCGAGCTGAAAGCGTTCGTGCAGCTCCCGGAGGAGCCTCCCTCTGGCACGGAGATGAGTGGGGTCTTGGCTAGATCTTGGGAGCTCAGGGCAACCTGTTCCCTAGGGTGGGGGCCCCGAGAACAAGTCAGAGCCCCCTCTGCCGGTTTGACAGATGGGGCCGCATCCCTAGAAGTGAGGTCAGGGCCAGCCTCTCCATCCACTCCCCGTCTCTGGGCCAGCTTTCCAGGTTCCGGAGGGAGTGTGGCATCTCAGGGGTGTGCTTTCGGTTATTTGGGTGCCTGGGGCACTGGGCTCCCGCAGGTCCCTGTCTGAGCTGCCGCAGGATCCAGCAGGCAGCCAGTCTGCTCCTCTGCACTGCCTGCCCCCTCGCAGACACCTAAGAGCAGGGGGAGGGCTCTGGGGTGGTGGGGGAGGGGGGAGAGGGGGGGCCTGACTTGAGGCTCTTCCACTCACTGTCTGCAAATCTGACCCCAGCTGGTCACTGTTTCCCCTCCTGAGGTCCCTGCTGGCCGAGGGGGTGGAGGAGGAGGGTCTCGGTGCCTCATCTGTAGAATGGCTGCTCTCTAAGGTCCCCTCCAGCTCCGAGCCTGTGAGCTCGCAGAGAGCGCAGGACGCTGAGGGCCTGGATGCTGTCCCCTGGGCGGGAGTGGCCAGGGGAGGAGGCAGGTGCCGGTGACTCTAACTCTGCCCTGGTCAGCACAGGGTCTGCAAACCAAAGCATGCTCCGTACCTCCCTCACTTCATGCTGTGTTCCTTGGAGAGTCCCCAAATCCTCTTCAGCCTTCTCTGCCCACCTCCAGCCTCATGCCCACTTGCCTTGGTCCGGAAGGGCCTGGGGCCACCTCTCACGACTACCTGCCCCTCCCTGTCCTGGCCACGTTCAGTTCCAGACTTGAACTGAGAAATTCAGCACTTCTGGCCCCGTGACCTTCCCCAACACCCCATCTCTGTGCCTTTGTCATTGACTCCCCTCATCTGAAATGCCCTTCCCAGGCCGGGCACATGCCTCCGCATCCCGCATGGCCCCATTCAAGCTCACCCAAGCCCCTAACATGCCCCACGAGCACGCAGTTGGAAATGAGCTCGCATCCCGACTGTGCCGTGGCCCTGCCGAGGAGGCGAGTCTGCCTCCATAGAAGGCTGTGAGCTCCCCAAGGGGAGGGACCGTGTCTCCAGGTCTCACCTGAGCCTGGCGAAGTGCCTGGCACATAACAGCGCTTACTTGTGTGGTGCTGTTTGAGGACAGCTGTGTTATGTGCCTCCAGGAGCCTGTGCACATCACTGTCACACTCACACTCACACTCACACTCACACTCACACAGTGGAGCTCAATAGACAACTGATTGGGCTAACCAGGCTCTAGCGCTCCCCAGAGCCTATACCAGTGATGGCGAACCTATGACACCCGTGTCAGAGGTGACACGCGAACTCATTTTTTTGGTTGATTTTTCTTTGTTAAATGGCATTTAAATATATAAAATAAATATCAAAAATATACATCTTTGTTTTACTATGGTTGCAAATATCAAAAAATTTCTATATGTGACACGGCACCAGAGTTAAGTTAGGGTTTTTCAAAATGCTGACACGCCGAGCTCAAAAGGTTCGCCATCACTGGCCTAGAACAACCCTGGGGCCAACTCGCATATCCTCTCACAAACTCACACCCTCACACTCTTTCTCCCTCATACTCACATACACACACTTTCACCTTCACACACTCTCATACACTTTAAAAAATTATTAATTGATTAGAGAGAGAGAGAGAGGGAGAGAGAGTGAGAAACATCGATTTGTTGTTACATTTATTTATGCATTCCTTGGTTAATTCTTGTATATGCTCTCACTGGGAATCGAACCCGCAACCTCAGCGTATCAGGACGATGCTCTAACCAACAGGGCGACCAGCCAGGGCTCTCATACACTTTTATACACACTCTCTCACATATATTCTCACACACAGTCCCTGCTTCACACTCACCTTCACCCCTCACTCTCTCACACATTCTCTCCCCCACACACACTCGGGTCTCTAGGTTCACAGGGGGTCCGGTCACAGGAACCGGGAAGTATGACCCCAGAGGCTGCACAAAAGCAGGGAGCTCTCCCAACAGGGAGGTGCTGGGGCTCTGGGAAGCGCCCAGGCTTTGGCCTCCACGGACAGGATTCGGTGACATTGACTTCATCTCCTATCGGCTTTGTGAGCTCGGACAAGTGATTCCCCCTGTGGGGCCTGTTTTCTCATCTGCAAAGTGGAGATTACTTTGCAGAGCCGTTCTGGTGTTCAGTGAGGTACTGGAGTGCCTGCCGGGGAAGTTATGGGGTCAGGGTCACAGCAGGGATGGGGTCAGAGAGAGGAGGGGCTGAGACCCTCCTCAGCTCACTCACATCTGCTTCATCTACTAGATTTCCCCACAAGGTTCCCTTTAAACCAGAGGTGGGGAACTTTTCTCTGCCAAGGGCCATTTGGATATTTCTAACAACATCATTCACGGGCCATACAAAATTATCAACTTACAAATTAGCTGCTATATTTGATCAAACATTTAATTCACTCACCCTAATGCCTTGGCAGGGTCAGACTGAATGATTCTGTGGGCCTTATACCGCCCAAGAGCCGGATGTTCCCCACGCTGGCTTTAAACTAAGGGTCCCATGGTTCCAAAACGTTGGAAAACACCCCCTTAGCTCTAGTGTGGCACATCCCCGAGCCGGGCACAGAGAAGGGGCTCAATCATCGCTTGCTCATCCCTGCCCTTTGTCTGCCAGTCTGGGAGCTCAGTGAGGGGCAGGGTGCTGGCTTGGGCTCAAGGCTTTACCCTGAGTGTGCCAGGGCCAAGCAGAGACAGACCACCAGGGAGCTGGGGGCCCTGGGACAGGAGCCACTGCTGCTCCCGTAGTGCTGGAGAGAGCGGGGTGGCTGTGCGTGTGCATGCGCGTGCGCGCGTGCATGTGTGTAATGTTGGTGTGTATCTGTGTGTTGTGCCTATGTGTCCCTGTGGATATGTGAGGTCTGGTCTTTGTGTCCCTATGTATATGCCTGTGTCTCTGTGTGTCTGTGTTTGGATATGTCTGGTCTTTGTGTGTGTGCCCATGTGTTTGTGCATGTGTCTGTGTGTGTCCCTGCCTCCACGGGGCATGAACCCAGCCCTGCCCTGTCCTCCTGTGACCTACAAGGAGGCCTGATCCTGGATCACTCACCTCCCCCCCCAGCGGTCAGAATGATGTCACCACAGGTAATTATCATACTTTGTGAATAATCCAGTTTTACTGCTCTTCCTAAAACTCAGCTTAACCCAGACCTTTATCAGTCACCTAAGGGCTCAGGGGCCCCGGGCACCCCTGAGGGACAGACTGGAGAGGGCTGGGCAGGGGCTGAGAGAGAGGAGCAACTGGGTTGCACCAGAGGTACTAGAGAGTGCTGTCAGGTGTACACAGCCCCACGGTGTGCCAAGGCCTGTGCGAACACTCTCACACATGCGCGGAGTCTGGGTCAAAGGTTGCAGCTCCTTGCTCCCTGAAGGTGAGGCAGTTGGCATCCAGTCTTGCCCTGTGTCCACTTCCTCCCAGCATTTAGTGCCATGTGCCAGGCGCTGTGCTATGGGCTGGGAGACAGTAGCAAAAACTGCCTTTATGGACCAGCCGCGAGCCACCAGGATGTGCTCATGAGCTCCACGGACCAGTCCTCTCCTCACACCATCTGCCCTGTGACACATCCTGGAATGCTCAGGATGGGGGAGGCCTTTTGTCAGGAGCAAGGCCAGAGTGGAGCTATGCCAGGCCCGGAGCGGGCCCTGTGAGCCCCGAGCCAGCCAAGCCTGGCCCAGGCCAGCTGCCCCGTACAGGGGAGCAGGCACAGGCTGGCACAGGCGGGCACAGGCTGTAACCATCAGGGGGGCTGGGCCTATGAGGCACCAACACATGGGGGAGCAGGCTGCTTGGGGGTTCAGAGGCTGCAGGGGGAGCTGGCTGGATTGCTGGCCCAGGGAACAAAGGGCCTGGGGGACAATGAAGGTGGGGTGAGGGGGGAGGAAGACTGAGAGCTGGACTCTAGCACACGGCAGGGTTCACTGGGCTCAGGGCCCTGCACAGAACAGCCAGAAAATGAAAGACACACGCCTCCAAAATGCTACCACTGGGGACACCCGGCTCCTGGCCCTGAATCCGCCTCCCGCCACCCCCGGGGGAGATGTGAGCACCAAGGCCTGCTTTCTGACGGGTGGGGACAGACAAAGGGGGAGTTTGGCGTCCAGTGGAGGGCAGAGACGAAGTGATTTATCTTAAGGCGATGAGCACCGCCTGAGCCCTCATGCCCCCAGCCCCACCC